CAGAAATGCAAAGGAAAAAGTCACACTGGACCCCACCCTCCAAGGCCAACCTGGTGGGTCAACTCCTCTGTAGCCTGTGTGCGATTCCTACTTATAGAGAGAAAGCATGCCAGACCAGACCATCTCACCTCCTTCCTCCTGACACACACACACACACACACACACACACACACACACACACACACACACACACACACACACTCCTGCAGGCCACGGCAATCCACTGATCTGGACTGGGCCACTTCTTGCTTCAATTAGAATGCTAGAGATTCTATGCCCAAGGAAGAATGCTGTAAGTCTGGATTATTAACTTCCAATGGCCATCCAAATCAGTGGAAAATATTTAATGCTCCACTTCTCAGTTTTGTTGAAAACTGATGCTGTGCTTAGAAATTTCAGTTACCATCCTCATTACTGTGCAGTCACAGAAAATACAAAAGCGAAAGCTGTTTTCACTTTCATGAGCTGCGGCCTCTCTAACCTACATGTTTATCTCTAACATAGTCATCCTTTACTGAGGGCCTAATGCATATTCAAGTATTTTTCCAAGGTGCTCTCCATACATTGAGCTGTTCAGCTGTTCAGTTAATCACAGCATGCATTTACTGAGTACCTATTAAGCGCTATGCATCTTAGGCACAGAAATAAAAAACGACAAGCAAGTCCACAGTCATGACCCCATGGGAAAAGCAGATAAATAGGCAATTACTATGCAATGCAGTGTCTGCTGAGCTGGGAATTAAAAATAATATAGAAGGCGGTGGTTCCATGTCAGATGTGTAGAGCTGCCGTCTCTCCAGCAACACCCTGCAAAAGTGGCCATGTCCCCATTTCCAGAAAAAGAACAGCACAGATCCTCTCTAGGGCACACCATCTTGCTAGCCAAATGGCATCAGCAACTGCATCCTTACTGCCACTCAAGCCCCGATTCTGGGCTCAGTATTGCACGCAGCTCACTACATTAGCTGATTCGGGCGTAAATCACCCACGCACCTGGTATTCTACCACACAATGCACACCCTGGTGAGAAAGGGCCGCAGTGTTACCCAACCAGAACCACAGATCACACCCTGAAGGGACTCCCAAGTTGGCTACAAGGAGCCACCCAGGACTACTGATGACAGACACCAGGACCAAAACATGGCCTGGGCCATCCACCACTGTGGAACCACAGCAGCATGTCAGGCAAGTCAACTGGCTCTTCGAAGGCAATGATGGCTATGGAGAGGTTTCTTAAGTGGGATCTGGGCCTTAAGAGCATGTGAGGTCAGACACAGAGACTGGAAAGACCTGCCTCTCAGGAAAGCCTTTATGGAGAGATGCCCAAGAAGCTCACGGGTCAGGCTGAGCGACGGCCAAGGGTGTAACCAGAGCCTGTTGGTGGGGTGAGCCAGGTGCAGCTGCCCACAGTGCCAGCTGATAAGAGAGAAGAGGGCATCTTGGGGCACTCAGTAAAGCAACCCAGTACAAAAGCAGATGAAGTAAATCATATGCACAAGAGCTCCCAAAGATGATGACACATAACAGAAGCAGTTCCTTGTTCAACCTCCAGGATAGAGCGGAGACCCTACAGGAGCTCCTGTGGTCACCCAACATCCTCCAGAGAGTGCAGGTCATGTCCTATGCAAGGGCTTGCTCCTGTTGAAAGCAAATGCCAGTTCAAGGGCACAGCTGCAAGCTGCATCACCCGGCACGATGGTCAAACCATGTGCTATCAGTAAGCGGTCTCCCCACCCTCCCCCAAGTGTTCAACAGAGCATGAACACTGAGATGCAGGCCAGTGTATTAGCCTGCCTCAAACTCCACATGTCCTGACTAGGCCTGCGTCGTGTGTTAGATGCTATACACATCGCAGCCATCAAGTAAGCACCAGGCTTCTTATGGCACAGATGAAGTTGCTGAGGGTCTGAGTGGCCAAGTGGCCTGCTGAAGCCAGCAAGTAGCAGAGTTGGGTTTGGGAGCAGGATGTCTGTCCAGGGGTGTCCATCCATTCTCTCTGCTGCAACTGTCATAGTACCTTACAAAGTTCTTAAGAGCTGACAGATTTTACAGGAGTCCTGCAATACACTCAGACTGACACTCTCTGTCTCTTTCTCACTCTGTCTGTCTGCCTCTCTCACACACATAACACACATACTCCCTCAGTTTTCTAAAAGTTTGATAATATATTGTATTCCACTTCTTTAAAATCCAGCTTCACCATGGCCAGTGGTGAGGCATAGCAAGTAAAGCGGCTGCCCACAATGCCAGTTGCCCTATGACACCAATTCAAGTCCAGAGCGGCTCCATTTCCAATCCAGCTCCCTGCTAAGGGCCTGGAAAAATGATGGAAGATGGCCCAGTGCTTGGATCCCTGCACTCATGTGGGAGGCCTGGATGAGGCTCCTGGCTCCTGGCTGGTGGCTTTTTTTGTTGACCAGCCTTGACTGTTGCAGTCATCTGGGGAGATGAAATCTCTCTCTCTCTCTTTAACTCTGACTTCCAAATACATAAATAAGTCTTCTAAAAATACCCATTTTCTATCTTCTAGTTATAGATTTTTGTCTCAGTACATTTAGAAAGTGAGTAGTGATTATTCAGATGACTGTTAAGATATACGTAGCTGAAGTCTTACATCTTAGACACCTGGTCTCTTAAGACTCATTCCTTACCTGCTTAAAGGTCATAACATTAAAAAAATTATGCACAGCCAAATGGTCAACTATCTGCCCGACTCCATTCTCAGCCTCTGAGCTCCTCATCTACCACCAGTCTTCATGACCTGAGACATCACACAAGCAACGTCTTACACACATGACCCTTCCACATCAGAATGTTTTCAAAAGTGGCTACACCCAGGAACACTTTAAAAATCACAGGACTTGGGCCTGGCATGAGAGCCTAGCAGTGAAAGTCCTTGCCTTGAACATGCCAGGATCCCACATGGGCACCGGTTCTAATCCCGGCAGCCCCGCTTTCCATCCAGCTCCCTGCTTGTGGCCTGGGAAAGCAGTCGAGGACGGCCCAAGGCCTTGGGACCCTGCATTCGCTCTAGGCTCGTGGCTTCAGACTGGCTCAGCTCCAGCTATTGCAGCCGCTTGGGGGAAGTGAACCAGTGGATGAAAAATCTTCCTGTCTTGCCTCCTCTCTACATATCTGCCTTTCCAATAAAAATAAATGAATCTTTTTTAAAAAAAATCACAGGACTTGAAAAATCTTCCAGAAATATCAGCCATGCATCCCACATTTTGGTTTAAAATGATAGCTACACAAGATAGAGAGCTATATATATATTTGATTCTTAAAAAAATTCTCAACTCCCAGTTTTTGAAAGCACTGCTTGCAAATTGCTAGGTCACATACATTATTTAGTAAACAATTTGTCAATTAGTCTTTCATAGTGGGGAGAGAAATCACACAGAGAAATGAGCACAGAGCCAAAATCAAAGAAAGCGAAGCACTAGTGACAAATGAGCAAAACCACCTACCTCACTCCTCATCCCACCCACGCAGCACAGATCACACATCACCCTTGCCAGCTATAGGAGGCCGCATTTTGCTTCCAGCACAAAGTTCTATAAAAAGATCCTCATAAAAACAGTCAATACAGTTAATCTACCAGTTACCAACTAATTTAGACTTTCTCATTGCAACAGAATTGATATCATCAAGCCACACTCCAAAGACTTGACATATATTCTTCCTCTAGTCCCAAAGGAAAATTCCCCAATCACTCCTCTTGCTGCAAACCACAGAAACAAACTGATTTCAATGCAGTTAAACCACGTATTTCAACGGCACACCCTTAAACCGGAATAGATCAGTGAAATGTGATTTATTGAGAACTTTCCTTCTGACTAAAACTCCACTACAGCAAGCAAGCGACTCCCTACACACAGGCTCCATACTAGATACACACAGGAATAGTCCATACCAGAAGCTTTTAAAACAGGGCTTTCATTCTGCAATACCATCGGACTTTGCAAAACTGGAGTTATGCTCAGCTTTCGTAATTCTCATTAGGTAATCTAGGGTGTGGGTGTTTTCAAATGTTCTCTCCACGAGGAAAAAGGAAACTTTTATCAGCACATCAGGTGCGCATGGAAAAACACAAATTTTCATACACACATATTAAGTAAACACACACCGTTCTGCTGGTTTAAAGGTCCTTCTGCCTAGCTTCGTGCAAATACACCACAACCCAATTCCAGTCCAAGTGGGATGTTACAGACCTGGATTTTCTGTTCAAGCCAGAGGCCACAGTGTACAGCACTCAGAGGAAACAACCATCAACTCTTCAGTTATCTGCCCCCAAGAAGTTATTATTTGTTCCCCTAGAAACTCAAAGATGTCCCACTGAGAATCACAGCTCCTGCAGGCATGCAAGTGTGACCTGAATCCAGATAGCCACATTAGACCCTCACCGGTGTGTTAAAAATTCAACATTGCAAATGAAACCAAGGCAGCCACCCACATCAACCAGGTAATTAAAATCTTGGTTGGAAGTGGTTCCAAAATCCAAGCCCAAGGTCAACAGCTGGCAAGCCTCCATGTGGGACCCACAAGTACCCGCTCCTGAGACAGCGATCAGCCAGGAAGAGGGTAGAAAAACTGCAAAAGCCCATTCGCTGGTTGTACTTCCAGTTGAAATCCCAAGTTAAGAGCTAACTGCAGCTGCCAGGAGAACCTTGGAACTGGCCTGGCTGTCTGACGTTCAGGACGGACAAAGAGTTAGTGCAGACAACACAGTTGTTCTAGTGCGGGACTCCCAGCCAATCCACCACTACACGATGCAGCAGGGCTGGCACAGAGGCACCCTCTCCTCCATCCACCCTGCCCCGGATCAGGCAGTGTATTTCTGCTCCCCACCAGGACCCTAGCTGGTTGACAAAGTCGGCTCCGTAATGTGAGCACCTGCAAGGGTAGGGGAAGACACATTCCGCATTTGTTCACTGCCCACAGCCCATCACCCAGTTCCTTGGCGCGACCCCGCAGCGTGCATTTCCCGCGCCCCCTAGTACCTGCCAAGTTCCTCGCCAGTGTCATAGTAGTCATCCACGTTCTCCTGCTTGAACACGGTCATGATAAACGGCCGCGCCTCACCAAAGCCCAGCGTGCTTCAGCTGTTTCAGCTGCCTGCACGAACCATTACCACTGCTCCTGCGCCTCCGGGGGCCCCTCAGGCATGCCTTCAGTCCTAAGAAAGAAAAGAAAAAAGAATAACAGTAATAAAATGAGAATAAAAAAAAATAAAGAACAGAAAGCAGACATCAGCCCACCACCTCCAGAGCTGTCCCTTCCAGGGGGAGAGCGGAGAGGCACACCCTTTGTTAAACCCGGATCAGGGACGCCCCCTCTAGCTCCAGCACGCTCCGGGCCACCACACCAGGTCCCGATCCCCCAACGCTGGGCGGCAGGCACCCATTCCACCCAGCTCCGGAAGTAACCGGCCTCTCCTTTCTCTGCACGCAGGCACGCACGCCCACCTCCATCCCACCTCCAGGGGCGCCGCGGAAGAATGAAGCCCTCGCCCGGGCAGCGTGCTGCCGCGAGCATCCCTCGCCAGCCTGCTGCTGCGGGGCGCCCCCGCGCCACCTCTCGGCTCCCGCACCTCTGCGGCCACCCCTCACCGCTTCCCTCAGCCTGGCAGTCCCCAGGGGCACATTCCAGGCGACTCCCTCCCCGTTACCCGGCCAGCGGCCACCCGGGGGAGCAGGGGAGGGAAGGGAGCGGCCGAGGAAGGCGCGGTCGCCCGCTCCGGGTCCCGTGCCCCGACACAAAAGCACCAAGCCCGACCCTGCACCACCTGTTCCGGCTCGGTCCGTGCGGCTGGAGGCTCTTCCAGCAGCGACCCCACTTCTCTCCCCAACCCCTGCCCCCTAGGCCTTCCCCGAGGCGCTGGGATCTGCCCCGGCAAATAGAAAAAAAACCTCTCGCGGCACGGCAGCAGCGAAAGCCAAACCTGCGGCAAGGCCCTGGGGGACCGGGAAGCCGCGCGTGGCCACTCACCCGGGCGCCCAGGACTCGCCGGGTCCCTCTGGAGCGCGGTCGGAAGCCGAGCACGGGCGCTGAGCCCGAGACGAGCCGGGCGGCGGCGGGAACGCAGCGAGGGCGCGAGTCGGTGGGGGGAAAGGGGAAGCGCAGACACCGCGCCGACGCCCCGGCGCCGCCTCCAGACCCCGCGGCCGCGAGGGTCGCCGTCTCCCCTCGGCAGCGGGAACAATGTCCCCCCCGACGTCGGCTCCTCGGGACTCTTGGGGTCCCGGGCAGCCTCCAGGCTTCTCGCCGCCTTCCGGGAGGAGGCCGGCCTGCGGGCGGCCAATGGGGGACCCCGCGGGCGGACTGGCGGCGCGGCCCACCCACCTCGGAGCTGGCCGGGCGGCCGGCGCTGCGGGTTGTGCGCGCCGCTCGCTGCTCCTCCCCGCCCGGCGCTCGGCGCTCCCGGCTCGCGGGCGCGCTCTACCGCGCACACCCCGCACACACCCACTCGCTCCACGCCCACGCCGGCGAGGGAGGGCGCGCGGCAGCCCAGGAGAAGGCGTTCCACCTGTGCGATTCTTTGGTCCAGCAACGTGCGTCCAGGGCTACCTGTGCGTGAGCTTCTGTCGGGGAAAGCGCGGAGAACAAAACAGGTTTTGAAAGATCTCTACCTTTCAGAAGCCTACAAGGAGATGGAAAGCTAGATAATAAGCAGCGTAAACGAATCACTTCAGATGGTCTTAAGAGGGATGGGTTCTGTGTTTACAACCAAACAGGATGAAGGAATAAAGAGTAAAGGGGGAAGGGAGAGCCGCCCCCCAAGGGTTTCCTCTCTCAGCAGGTGTCTAGAGCTGGCGTCCTGAGGTGAGAGAGTTTGCAATCTGAGAAGGGTGGAGGTCTCCGAGGCTCCACGGAACAAAGAATCGAGAGTTTATTTGTACTGCCCAATACGCCATTGGCTATTCATGATTTGAAATGTCGCTAATCCGAAGTTATGCCAGATGTGTCATGAAGATGTTTATATTAGTTAAGAGTGTGTGGATACTTCAGAAAGTGCAGGAGAAACTGAATTAAAAGATAAGCTCATCTTGATGCAAAATATTTTTGCAGTCCCTGTGTAAGCTTATCATAATATACATTTGAAGTCAACTTTAGAAGACCTGTTGTATGTGTGGCTTTCCAGTGTTTTCACACTAAAATTAACTTATTTTTAAATTCCGCTGTCAATGACATTTTGGGAGTAGCTTTCTAGTTGGAGTAGATTGTGTTAAATATTGTCTGGAAAAAAGAAAAATGTTTTCTGGTCCTGTTCCTTGTGTTATGGACAGTCCATATCCTCTAGAGTGGATATTCATTTACTCGACCCAAGCATTTAGGTGGGGAATGAAAGATGGATAGAAACCCGAAATGGAGAAACACCCTTAAGGGAAGTGTGTCTTATTGCCTAGAATAGCAGAATTTGATGTGTGAGCCCTTTGAGATTTCCCAGCAACATCAGTGCCCGATCCCCCACGGACTCTAAAAGGATGGTTCAAGTTCTCTGGTTCAGCAGGTAAATTCAATTCTGGAGGTTTGGGCACCTTCCATAAAACTGGGCAGAGCAAATGAAAGCCCCCCTGCCTGGTGCCAGCTTCTAATCTTCAGGAATATTCCATTTAATGGCCCACACCGTGTACACAGTTCCTGAAATAGAGACTCAAGACTTCAGACCACTCAAAGGCACTAACCAAAGCAGTAGGTTTGAAAAGTAGTACAAAAGAATGACGAGAAGTGCAAAATGTAGTCAGAAATAACAACAGCGCAAAGGTGACTCATCTGAGAGAAATACAGATGAAGACATCTGCCGAGGGTAAAAATCCAAAACAGATGTTCAGGAGAAATTTGAAAAGTGTTTGGGAGTGGCTGCTTTACATATATACGTCTACAGAAGTAATGATGCTTTCTAAAGCAACGAAAGGTTCAGCTCTAAGTAGAGCTGCCCACTCCTCCCTAGCTCACTGAACAGGCTAGTTTGTGACGCAATGGGAAAAAGAGGGGGATTTGGAGTCCCAGAATTCAGCCGAATGTTGATAAGACCATCTGATAGCTGAATGATCTTGTATCCTACAACCCACCCCCACCTTCCTGTGAGCCCTGAGGTAAACATTTAGGGAAGGGGAATTGTGGCCACTTAAAAATGTGTCCCAGCCTGGAAGTTGTGGCACAGCGTATTAAGTCAAGGCTTGGATTGCCTGCGCCTCCACATCAGAGTGTGTTGAAGTCCTGTTTACTCCCTTTGCTATCCAGCTCCTTGCTAATGTGGAAAGCAGCAGATAGCCCAAATGCTTGAGTTCCTGCAACCCGTATGGGAGCCCTAGGTGAAGCTTCTAGTGCCTGGCTTCAGCCAGGCCTGGCTCTTGCAGCCATTTGGGGAGCAAACCAGCAGATGGAACATTCTCATTTGTCTTTTTCTTCCTCTTTCCCTCTCTCTCTTCCTTTCTATTTCTTTACACTCCTTCAGTCAAAAGGTGGAGTCTAATTCCCTTCCCATGAATGTGTGTAGACACTACAAGTTTGCTTCTAAATATATGTGGTGATAAGGACAAAGTGCATCTTCTTTCCAAGTTTGTCTTTTTAAGTTTTTAACTCTTATTTATTTTATCATTTAGTTAAAAGAGACCCCATCCATTGGTTCATCCCGCCAGATACCTAAAAATCAACCCAGGTCTCCCATACAAGTGGCTGGAACCCTAGTACATGAGCCATCACTATCACCTCCCAGTGTGTGCATTAGCAAGAAGCTCAAGTCAAAAGTGGAGCAGGGGTTTGAACTAAGTGCTTGAAACAAGTGGCATCTTAACTCCTACACCAAAGTTGGCCCCAAAGCAAGATCTTATGTGTCAGCCAGGGCCCAGTGTGATGGTTCCCTGGCTAAATGCACCAAGATCCCACATGGGGCCATTTCATGTCCCGACTGCTCCCATCCAGTTCCTGTCTTCTGATCTTGGGAAGCAGTAGAGGATGGGCCAAAGCCTTGGGACCCTGCACTCACTTGGAACACCCAGAAGAAGCTCCTGGCTCAGTTCCCGTCGTTGCGGATACTTGGGGAGTGAACCAGTAGATGGAAGATCTCTCTCTGTATCTCCTCTCTGTAAATCTGTCTCTCCAATAAAAAGAAGTCTTTTTTTTTTTTTAAGTCAGTTCACTCTCTCTCTGTCCTCTTTCTTTCTTCACTAAAAACAGTCAGTTGCAGTGGTTATTCTAGGGCTTCCCCAGAAAGAAACCTAGAAAGACCACACAAAGAACAGGACGTGCCCCAGGGAGCCAGCTGTCCACCCACATCCCAACCTCTACCCACATCCCAACCTCTACTCTGTTATTTATCTTCCTACTCAAGTTCTGTAAGCAAAATAAGTGACAGTTACTGTTTCAGGTCAGTACTTGGGAATGGTTTGTTTCAGAGCAATAGTTTAATTTATACGAAAGTTGAAAGTTAATAAAATCTAACTTATACCCCAGGTTTCAGGCCAACTAAATTATTCTCCTGCTAAATCTTTGTGATTTCTGCATTACACGCAGCATTCTTACATTCTCATTTTCAGCACCTGCGAAAGAGGGAGACAATGATACGTACTTCCATGTGCTTCCTGCTGAAGAGATGATGCATGGACTGGAGCTACAAAACGGACCAGAATCTTTGTTTTGTTTTCTCCCATGTTTCCTGCCAAAGGGCTCCTAGGGACATCTCTCAAGTAACTGACACCAAGAGGAGGATTCTCAAATCATGAGATTCAAGCTGTAAAGGACTTGCATGGAGTAGGTTACTGATTATGAGCATTTAGAAGCAAAATGAAACCCAGCATATCTCAGAAGTAAAGATGGAGGTGAGGACTTGGCTGCACGTGGGCATGAAGGGACCCAGGTCTCTACCCTCCAACAGACCCATGGTCCTCCAGTGTGAGTTTCCCAGTGGATTGCTTTGTGGCTCGGCTGATGAGAGAGGTGAAAATCCTGGGCAGATCTCACTAGAAGATGACTTTAGGGATTAGATTTGAAGTCTAAGATTTAATTTTTTTTTTTTATCATTGACAAGTGTTCTCAGATCACTAGAAGTAGACCTTATTAATTCAATTCACCCTTAATCCCTTAATGTACCCTTTTTTTTGTTTTAATTAATACTCACTAAGTACCTGTGAGTTTTTGAGTTTCGGTTTATGGATTTGTTTTTTTGGATTTTCGTCAGGGTACGTTTTGTTTTTGTTTTAAGGTAGAAAGAGAGCTCGCACCTGCTGGTTCACTGTTTAAACACTGACAACTGGACTGGCATACAACTGAGAGCTAGGAATCCGTTCCAGGTCTCAAATCAGTTAACTCAAACCGTCCTGGCTATCTTGCAGAGTTTCCATTCTAGCAGAGAGCTAGAATCAGGAGCTGCAAATCAAACTCAGTCATTGTGTATGAGATGCACTAGGCTAACCACATGCCCCTAGGTTCCTTTTTGTTGATATGGCTTTGGTTTCATTAAGGGCTAATATCTTAAATGGCCCAATGCAGAATGTCTGTCCCAGTAGCGATGCTGTCCATTATGCAGCCGAGTGCCTCGCACAAAGGCAGTCACATGACTGTTTCAATTTCTCCCAGTCCTGAGTGCTGAGTATTCTGATTACATGACATTTCTTTATATCAGACAATGGAAATTGTAAAGCCTTCTGTTCCTGGCCTTAATGTGGACTCCAGAAAGCACGTGACGAGCTCAAATAACACAATCTTCCAAAAATGCCAAATTTGTCAAATTTGTCAGTTCAATCCGCAAGTCCAGTACTGTTAGATGCTAGCCTTGCACGTGTGAAAGAGGCGGTCTGCATTCTCATGCCATCAGTCTGATGAGGGACACTGATGAACAGACATGTGGTTGCGCTAAATCTAATCCATTTGTTCCTCTAGCTCAATCTGCCAGCCTTCTCCACCCTCCAAGGTCAGGAGACCAAGCTGTGAGATTATTTTATCTTGATACTTGTCCTCTTGCTGCTGGTCAGCTTGAACCATGAGGTAGACAGGCAGGAGATTAAGAAGAAGGAACGAGGTGAGGCCAGAGTGGCTGTTCCCCTGCTTTTCTTCTGCAAGTCAAAACTATTGCTCTTCTACGTGATTTTTCTCACTCTAGTTTTTGATCTCTCTCTCTCTTCCTCTTCCTTCTCTTCTTCTTGTTCCTCTCCTCCTTCTTCTTCCTCTCCTCCTCCTCTTCTTCCTCCTCCTCTTCTTCCTCCTCCTCCTTCTTCCTTCTTCTTCTTCTTCTTCTCCTCCTTCTTCTCTCTATCC